ATTTATACATAGATGTTCGGAATATGCACACGGTATACCTTGATCCTGATGGTTCAGAATATTTATATTTACCATTGCATATATCAAAAGGCATACGACAAAGTAATTTATAAATTTATAAAAATAAATAATTTCAGTTTCAAAAAAAAATATATCTACATACATATACATGTTTATTTTCAGTATTAGAAGGTGGACCAGAAAAAATTCAAGAACTACGAACATCACGACCCTTTTATCAAGCTCATCAAGAAGCATACGCACTCTTAGAAAGTACTTGTTTGCCATCATTCCATCATAGTTATCAAGTAAATGACATTTTATCTTTATTTTTTCTTCCCCTATTACATTCTATTTAAAATTTTGAATACATTAAATATTAATCCTTAATATATTAAATCTTTAATAGTGAAATTTTAGATTCTAATAATAACTATTTATGTGCTGTATGTTTTAGTTATATAAACTCTTGTGTGGTCATTTGTCTGAACAAACAAAACCTACTACAGCAGCTAAGTAAGCTCCTAAAATGTACACACATCCATATTTCTAAATTCTTTAGAAATGTTATTTTTTAACACTTTAATTTTGCTATTTTCATGATCACTTATTTTTTTAATTGTATATATAAGTTGTACAACTATACTTACTATATTATAGTTTATATGTATGAAATAGAACAAATGGCAATTTCTTAAGAGTGTTTTTCAATGAATATAAATAAAATAGATACTATATATATTTTATAAATTTAAACATAATTTACATATGCTAGTTTTCAATAAAATTTTAATAATTATAATAATTGTATGAATATATTTGATTATAGTGTGAGAGGAGGTACATCTACTCCTCCTATGCGATTCAATAATCAAGTGAGCAAGGTCGATGGCGTTTTACGTACGACTGCAATCGATGGTACTCCGTTTCAACTACAAGACGTCTATCCAGTTGAAGAAGTAGATTGCACATCTCGAGCATATAACGAAATCAAAGGCTTCGGCGATAAGAGTAATCGCGACTTAACAACGTGGCGAGTTGCTGTTCCTCATGTAGACGGCGGTGGAACGCAACCAATTTACATGATTGCCATTCATAGCGTTGCGGAAGCTAAATCGTGGACAGTCTTGCGACAAGATCAAGATTTTTATACGTTGCGAACACGGCTTATCGAATTCCATGGTGACAAGGAGTTAAATGATTCACCATTACCGTCGCGCAAAAATCCACACTTGCCCCTCGCAACCCCTAATCGTCAACGTTACGAGGAGTTTCTGCAGAAGTTGCTGTCTAAACCGATGTTAAGAAGTAGCGAACTCCTTTACACCTTTCTTACAACGCCGAACTTGAAACCGTACTTCGCGAATTATAGCACGCCCGACATTGGCATCCTTTACCAGAGCATGGCTTATAGATTGCGGAAGGAGAAGGGACAGCATCTCGATAAATTCATGAGTACTTTCTTAGCTTCTACATACACGAAGTATGAACACATGGATATGGGTGTCGAGCCATCGAGCGAGCATCTCTCTGAAATGGAGAGCAAAGGAAGAAAGCTGATAGATGACATATTCGGCAATAATCTAGATCTACCAGTTACTTTCCAAAATTTTCCGTGCAGTTTACCACAGCGTGATCACATGAAAGGTGCAAGTTTATGCATTATAGAAGCTCGTAAGTTCAAAATTATCTCATCTTTTATATTATATGCGTTCATGATTATCTATGATTGTTGAAAATAATGTTATTATGTTACAGTCGATAGTCTACTAAGTTTACCTTCGATTATTTCACGACTCTTCTGGATGTTGGCCTTTTTATTGCGTAAAAGAATAGACCCTTATGTAAACGCAATATTCTACAACACTTTAGTTAAGCTTCTAAGTGGTGGTCGCGCTTCCATCGTTGTTAAGCTTCTACATGCGAAAATAGTGGGTAAGAATTATATGAGAGACTTTCCCTCGCAAGGAAAATGTCGAAGTTACTACGAAACGGCGAAAGAGGGACTACATTCTTTATGGTGGTTAATGATATTCCCCAGGCCTTGGAACAATCTGATGAATTCTCTCTTAGATCCTTTACAAAACGCACCATTCAATAAACATCTAGCATATCTTTTACTAGATCATCTCCTAGTGAATCTTTTCCCAGAAGTGACTGCATAACATCAGGATCGTTTTTTGACGACCATGAAAATAAATATTGTATATAGTGTTAATTCTCTATAAAATTTACGTACATACGTTTCTTCTTGTACATGTAACATAATAACTTTGTAAATAAAAATTCTTATTGAGCTCTATCAAAAAGTATTACATATAAAACCGTACATATAAAACCGAAAGCGATAATAATAAATATTCTTGCACGCGATAAAAAAAATAATAAACGTAATACGTAAATAATAAAATTTACTATGATAGTAGATAAATCATTGGAATAGATGATTTTTGCACGATAACACATTTTTGCATGATAAAAAAATAATGGTATGCGTAATAAGTAAAATTCATTGTAATGAGTCATATATTTAAATAAACCGCGTTCTCCATCACGTGATGTCTAATCGGTAAAAACCATGTTGTATTCTGATAGATTGGTAGACGATAAGATCATTCTCTTCTGTAAATTTGATCGCCTGTTAAAAATATAGATACGATGCTTTCTTTGACGATTTTTGTTGAACAGTAGTAATATAATATAAAAAGGTAGCAAATATCTTTAATTTATGAATTTTATGCTTATATATATTTATATTATATATATTATATTATACATATTTTATTATATATATTTATGTTATAATATACATGATACAAAATATTTATGTAATTTACTTTTATCGATTAAAATTATTTTATGTACAAATTCTTATAGTTTGCAAAACAACTGATAATCTCAAAATAATTCAAACATCGTATGCAGATAAAGTTTCAAGGATTTTCCAAAAATTAATAATATTGATAATATACGTAATGTTATCGAGAGTGAACCATATCATTACGTAATAATTTTTAATAAATATTCTAATGTGTAAAAACGTAATAATTGTTTTGTATCAGAAAAAGTATAAAGTTCTTTATATCACGTGAAATTTTTATTCGCTAAGATTTGAATTTATGGCAACACTTTCATTGACCTCCTTCCAATTTCCATATCTATATATTCTCGAAATTGATAACTACTAAGTGACAATTACAACATTCTAGAATATGACTTTACGTTTGCTTTTCAGTAATACATTCGTCTTTTATTATCGTGAAAAAACAATTGTAAAGTCATGGTAACGTGACTTCCGTTTCCAGTATAATCGCTAAAACTGATTGCCCAAGAATTCTCCGGGAAGCCCCGGATTGATTTCGGTTCTCCGAAAAGACATCGAGAATGAACGACGGAATAGGATTGGGGACCACCGTTCGCAGGCAAGCGAGTGAAAAGCGGAACGATGTGAGGGGAGAGTAGAGCGAGTGCAAAGAATGATGAGGGGAAAGAGGACACAGCAGCGGCAGACTGGCTGGTGGAGCAAGTCCGAAGAAATGTGAGCGAGGGACGATGACGTGTTCAGCGAGAGGAACAAGGACGAGGAAGTTTGCACAGGAACGTCGCTGCGATGAACCTTGCAGGGGAGGTGTAAGTTCTTGTTATCCTTTATCTCCATGTTTTACACAGCACGGAGATTTAATAATGGATTTGTATATTTTTAATAAATAAAATAAGATAGAATTTATTCATTTTAGCATACGTAAACCAAAAAAGGGCATTTAATGAATAATATATAAATCAATAAATTCTTGTGAATTAGATTAAGTAGAATGTTTCATCACCGTCGCTCGATTCAGATGGTTTCCGTAACAGTTACTTCAGTGTGATTTTAACTAGGGAATGTACAATAAATAGACTTGCTTATTTCGATTTATTGTATTATTCAATATGTGATATTTTGCGATAATATATATATATGTATATATATATATAT